AAAAAAAAAAAAAAAAAAGTGAAACTGGGTATTGTGGCTCCTGCTTATAATCCTAGCACTTTGTGAGGCTGAGGTGGGAAGACTGATCTCGAGGTCAAGTGTTCAAGAGCAACCTGGGCAATAAAGCGAGACCCCATCTCTACAAAAAATTAAAACCTTTAGCTGGGCATGGTGGCACGCCCTGTAGTCCCAGCTACTAGAGAGAATAAGGCAAGAAGTTATCTTGAGCCCAGGAATTGGAGGCTCCAGTGAACTTGGGCTGTGACTGCATCACTACACTCCAGCCTGGGCAACACAACAAGATCCTATCTCTTTAAAAAAAAAAAAAAAAAAGAAAGAAAGAAAGAAAAAAAAGAACAACAAGAGGCGGCGCAGTGGGTCAGTGGGTAGGGCACTGCCCCATATGCTGAGGCTGACGGGTTCGAACCCGGTCCCCGCCAAACTGCAACAAAAAATAGCCGGCATTGTGACGGGCGCCTGTGGTCCCAGCTACTCTGGAGGCCGAGACAAGAGAATCGCCTAAGCCCAGGGGTTGGAGGTTGCTGGAGCTGTGACTCCACGGCACTCTACCGAGGGCGATAAAATGAGACTCTGTCTCTAAAAAAACAATTTTTTTCTTATGGCTTATGCTCCCTCTGCCTATCTCTTATTTCCTTGGGTGCTCTTCCCCCAAATAAGGCTAGGTCAAAAGGTTATGACTTCACTTCCTATCTAGTGGCATCGGGACATAACGTTATGTCTTTTCTGTCCTCTGAAAAATGAGTTTTTCTCCGTAAGTAAATTCCCTCCAACACTCGCAGCACACGGCTCGAACACAATCCCCTGCCTCGGCCGAGGCGGGCCCACGCCGCAGTCGGCCTGCGCTCGCCCAACCTGAGGCCTCCCCGTTCGTCACGCGCCGGCAAGGTCCAGGCGCCCGCGCTTTTACTCCAAACCCTGCGAGGGCCTTACCTGGCCGGAGGGGCCATGCGGGAAGTGCGGCTTCGGCTTCCACGCGGCATTGCAACTGTGCGGAGGGTCGGCGTCTAAGAGCTGAGTAAATCGGCGAAGATCCCAGAAGCTTCTACCAAGGAGAGCAGAAGTTCGGAGGTGGGGCTAGCTTGAGCGCGTGACCAATCAGCGCGCAGGTACAGAACTTCCGTTCGCCGACGCCTTCGTGGCTCTGAAGGTCATTGGAAGAGCAGGGTGTCACGGAGGCGTCGCGTCCTTCACGGTGACGTCATAAACTCTGCGCCAGGGATTTTTTTTTAGCCGGAAGTTCCTGTGGCTCTCCGGCCGACCACGTCCTCTGATGCACGCTTGAGTCAGGACCGTTAGTTTACTTCTTGTCGGTAGAAGGATCGTCGTTGCTTCCTTCAAACACTTGTATTAACAAAGCATGTTAAATCCAATTTTTAGAGTGAGTCACATCTCCGCTTGACTTCCAGAGAACCTTGGCGAGTTTACTTAACCTCAGCACGAAGTTGCATAGGGCTGGCATTTTTTGAGACAGTGTGGACGCATTGAGCGGAAAAAAACCCCAAAGTTTTAAGCAGGAAGCGACAGCGCTGGATTGGTTCTGTTTGTATTTCTCTTCGTTATCTATGGATGCAGCCAATAGGAGTTAAGTTCAGGCGGTAATAAGCCCTGCGCGGTGGCTCACTGCTGTAATCCTAGCACTCTAGGAGGCTGAAGGGGGAGGATCCTTTGACCTTAGGTGTTCGAGACCAGCCTGAGCCAGAACGAGACCCCGTCTCTACTAAAAATAGAAGAAAATTAGCCGTCTTTTAAGTCAAAGAGTGGGTTACAAAGTAGTGCACATGGTAGGCTATATTTTCAGAAAGTTAATACGTATATACCAAAGTAGTGATTTTATCCATTGTGTAGAATTACAAATGATTTCTTGCTTTCCTCCTTTTTAGGGCTTGTCCATATCTTTCAGGTCTTTTTTAATTTTTTTTTTTTAAGAGAGTCTCACTTTGTCACCCTCGGTAGAGTGCTGTGACTTGACACTGCTCGCAGCAAACTCCAACTTCTGGGCTTAGGTGATTCTCTTGCCTCAGCCTCCCAAGTAGCTGGGACTACCGGCGCCCGCCACACCACCCCGCTATTTTTTTTTTGTTGCAGTTTGGCCAGGGCCAGGTTTGAAACCCCTTCACCCTCAGTATATGGGGCCGGCACCCTACTCACTGAGCCACAGGTGCCACCCATTTTTCAATTTTTCTACAGTGAACATACAATGATTAAACAAACCAGGGTGTTTTATTTTTAAATTTCTTTTTTTCTTTATCCAAAATGCATTTATTGGGATGGTTTCCCGTTCATTCAGGCAGGATACTTTTGAAGGAACTGCTTCCTTCTGAAGGAACATAGGCTGGCAGAGGACAGTAGAGCGACCAACACAAAAAAACTACTGTCTGTGCATGGCTAAACACCGTGGTGATTTTGTAGCATCCTGGGCATTTCACGTCCATGAAGTAGGAGTTGGGGCTCTGCACCCGGCTCTTCTTGTGTTTCCTCTTCTCCTCTTCTGGAGAGGGATGGAGGAGATCCTTTGCGAGAGGCATATTGGCATGTGGAGGCTGTCACCGCCAGAAAGGGTTAAATTTCTTTTAGAGATAGAGTCGCCCTCTGTCACTCCAGCTGCTCTGGAACTCCTGGGCTCAAGTGATCCTGTTTCCTAAGTAATCTGGACTACAGGTGAGGCCACTGAGCCCAGCTAATACCATGGTAGTTAAAAAGATCCCCACAGGCTCAATGCCTGTAACACAGTGGTTATGATGCCAGCCACATACACCAAAGTTGGTGGGTTCAAACCCAGCTTGGGCCAGCTAAACAACAATGACAACTCAACAAAAAATAGCCCGCATTGTGGTGGGCGCCTGTAGTTCCAGCTACTTGGGAGACTGAGGCAGGTTGCTGTGAGCTGTGATGCCACAGCACTCTACTGAGGGCGACACAGACCTGTCAGAAAAAAAAAAAAAGATCTTGGGCAGCACCTGTGGCTCAAGGAGTAGGGGGCTGGCTCAATATGCTGAGGGTGGTGAGTTCAAACCCAGCCCTGCCAAAAAAAAAGATGTCCACAGGCCTGAACATGGTGAATCATGCCTATAATCCTAGCACTCTGGGAGGCCGAGGTGGGTAGATTGCTTAAACTCAGGAGTTTGAGACCAGCCAGAGCAAGATTGAGACCCTATCTCTACTAAAAATGAAAAACTGAAGCAAGAGATCTCTTAAGTCCCAAGAGTTTGAGGTTGCTGTGAACTATTGATACAGGATTCCACCACTCAGGGGTACAGAGGGAACCTCTCCCCCAGTTCTCTAGGCCTAGGTGAGTTCAGAAGTCAGACTCCCATTTCCAGGCACAAGCAGACTGCCTTTTTTGGGACATACCCTCTGGGTTCTAATAAAATGAACAAAGCATCCTGTGGTGGTTTTAGGGGTGATACCACCTTGGGTAGGAGCACACACCCTAATCCCTTCTCAGGGACAAAGACTGTAAAGGACCAACTTTCAGCCACGCGTAATCCTCTAGATTTAAGACCCCTAGATAAAAGAGTCCCCATGGAGACTCCCAGGAGAGTTCTTCAGTTCTTTCTCCCTTACAAAAGCTCTGGGGCTTTTTACTTTCCTTTCTAACTTCTTTTTTTTTTTTTT